TGTTCGCAGAAATTAATTTTTGAACTTTGACCAGATCAGTATATTCGAGGTCTACAGGCGCAGATCGAAATTTGATGTAAATATTTGGGCCGAAGTTCATCAGCCGCTGTGGGGTAATCGTGTAAATATTCACAAACTACTAACAGTCAGACAGTAGCATACCATACTGGCACTGATGAGCCGGACCACTCGCAGCGGCAGAATACCAGCGAAACACATGTCTGGACTTTTAGCTAGTACCTGTTCTGTCAGTATGGTCAATAATTACATAAGTCCAATTAAAAACCAAACCCGCATGTCTGACTGCCTCTGTGATAGCCTCATCTACATGGTTCGACTGCTTGACGCCTTTCTATTCCGTCAGGCTTTGTTGACGCCCTCTCATTAATTGACAAACAATCTACGGAAAAGTAAACCTGGAAGGTGGCTCGCACTTTGAAACCGCAGCATATGAAGGAACAGCGAGGTGCTGACCTCGTAAGCTTTAGCATTGTATGCAGTAAGAGATGGGGGGGAGGGATTCGTCTACATGGCGTAGACGACGGAGGGTAGCAAAACTGCATTTGTTTTGCACCCTGGTACCGGAGCCAGCTAGACAGGGACCTGCATTTTTACGAAGTTTCAGCAGCGGTTGACATGGCACATGACTTTTACTTGTACTTCGCACCGTAAATTGTCAATCTTCGGTAGAAACGTTTTGCACTTACCTGTGTAAATTGCCCTAGGGAGGTATGTTTTCGGTTCACAGAAGTTTGTGTTCAATGAGGATCCCTCATAAGCTGCAGGTTTTTTGATATCAAAAAGTTGGTTTACCACCTTAGATACCTCTAGCCAGTAGTATTAGTATAGTTTAGTTTTAAATTCATTATGTAGTTTAGTGGTTTAATTTCAGTTTTAGTGTAGTTTATTTTCGCGTTTAGTGTAGCAGCGTGTGTATGTTACGCAGTGGTTGACGGGTTTCAGTCCAAATATACACTTTAAATTTCGGTCTATGCCTGACCTTTCAAAACCGGTATATCAACCAGAAAGCAGGCAGGGAAGGCTGGGGGACCCACTGATAAGCCGGAACCCTCGCTGCTGTGTCAATCAGCGGCAGAATACCGGCGAAACACGCGTCTGGACCTGTTATCTAGTACCTAGGCTGTTAGTAGGGTAAGTGACAACATAAGTTAGTTTTGTTAAATTGAGCTTGTTTTGGTTCAGTACATAGTAGTTATTTACGTATATTTATCTAAGAAGACGAAGACTCGATCGCTGGGACAATACTTTTATTCGCCCGATGTTCTTTGTCTCCTTTGTTGCTTCTGTCTGGTTGATGACCTATTCCACAGCTGCAATCATGTTGGCAGGTTTAGCATCAACCGTTTTGAATTAGGCTTTGTACTGTAGAACGTGTATTTGCTCCGTCGTCAGTTCTTTCGACGACAGGTTGTGTACCAGTATGTCGTTTCTAGATGACGTTGGATTCTGCAGTTTGCGGAATTTGTTCTCCAGTGCCGCTTCAAGGATTGCTTGTTTGTCGCGGGCTCGTTCAAGCACTCTCTGCTGAAGCAGTTT